ATTAGAATCTCTCAAGTAGGGAAATAATTACATAATTTAATTTAATCCCACTTAACTTTATTAGCTCTCTATTTTTTTTAAGAAAAATATGGCTTGGGATTCAATTTAAAAATTTAACATATATTAAGTAAACTTTTTTATTCAAATAATTGCAGGGTAAGTTGCTTTTATTATGAAGTAATTTCTTTCTAATGTTACTTAAATCCTAGGGTTAAAACTTAGAATGTGTCTATCGAGAAGAAGGGACAAGTTGGGAAAGAGAATGACGGTGGGTGATTTTCCGATGACGGCGTCGGTTTCTGGACCTGAACATCTTGTCAAGCGAATCTTTCGGAATAAGGGAATTACCGCGGAGATCAAGGGGAATTCGGATTATGGGGCGAGATTAAAGGAAGCGGATAATCTGAAGGCTAATTCAAAGGGACTTCAACGGGTGATTGTGGAAGAAAATTTTAAGGGAAAAGCGAAAAATCAGAAGGTGGATAAGGGGCATTATTTATTTACTTTTTTTTGGTAAAAATAAGGGCATTATTTTGGAAAAGAAATTATTACAGCCAACGAGTCAAAATGGGATCCTATTGGGATTAGAAGGTAGGGTGGGTCTGATTTCCATGCTAATCTTGAGAACGATCACCATGTGTTCATCCTTAAAATTTGAATCAATAATTTAAAATTTAAATATTATTATATATTATATTTATTAAAATAAAAATTTATAAAAATTATAAAATAATTTTAATAATTTTTTATTTTTAATTTGATCTAGATTTAATTTAAAAATTTTAATTTAATATTAAAATTTTTATGATTAATGTATATTAATTATTAAGATGTATTTTGCATCAATTAGTGATTTTGTATAACAGATGAAAATATTTTAATCTTTTTTTACTCTCAAATTTTTTTTGACTTTTCTCACTTGGATTGAACTAACATTTCAAAAAAAATTTGAACCTACCTAAAATTAAGTCTCTTCCTTAGTCGGTAATTGAAATTCTGCCTTCAATTTGTATCCTTAAAATTTAACATACATTAAGTAAATTTTTGGGAGAATTACAACCAGCCCCTCTTAAAAAGTTTAATTACAGACAAGGATCAATGCAAAATGGATTGTTCTTAAAATACCGAACATGACTTATATTTTTTGAATGGAACTTGTTCTTAATCTTTGTCCGTAATTAATTTCCTTGAGAAGGGATTGTTTGTAATTTTCCCATATCCCTAAATTTATGGAAAAATTGCAACTAATTCCTTCTCAAAGAAATTAATTACAGACAAGGACTTATACAGAATGGATTGTTATTAAAATATGGAACATGACCTTTTTTTTATAATAGGACTTGTTCTTGGTCCTTATTAGTGACTAATTTTTTTTTTTTTTGAGAAGAGGCTGCCTGAAATTCTCCCTAAATTTTTTATTCAAATAATTACACAGCAAGTTCCTTTTATTATGAAGTAATTTCTATTAGAATGTTACAATCATTATCTTCAAACCTCAACGATTCTTCATATTTTTGCAAGTGTCATTAATATACGCGGAAGACTTTTGAAGAAAATTGAAGACTCTTGAATAATACTGAAGACTCTTGAAAGAAAGCTGTGGAAGATAATTGTAGAAAATTTTCTTCCCTCTCTTCCAATAATATTGAAGATACATTGAAAATTTGTGAAGATTAATAAAGATTGATGAAGAAAATTGGATAGACTCTTGAAAAGTAGTAAACTTTTCCAAAAAAAAGGTAAAAGATAATTTAAGCTACTTGCAAAAAATTTTATTTTAAAAAAATATTGACGACTTTTGAAGATTAATAAAAATTTTGGAAAATTATTAAATGGGTAATTAAAACATTGGTCCTTTTGTCCATGCATTTGGACCCTTTGGTCTTTTAACCAAACTTTGCAAAACACAATGACACGTTTTATAGGGCCCACGTATCATGTGAAATGCGAGGCAAGAGTACATGAGGCCCGATGCCGATGTGAAGCAGATTGACGCCAAATTGAACAGAAACTTTCTCTTGCGTCAGCTGATATTTATTTTTGGGTACAAAATGAGGCATCAAACCAAAACAGCGTTTCTACCAAAACAAAAAAATTTTTTTATTGGCTCAGTTAATAAGGATATGATTTGTAATTCACAAATTATAAGATTAAATTTTACTATCAATGTGAGGACTGAAGATCTTATTAGTGGGCAGGAGATTTGTAAATATTTTTATAAGTGTTATTTAAATTTTAAAGCATATTTAGACCTTAATAATAGCAAGACTCGACTCATTTAAACTTTTTTTTTTCAAAAAAAAAAAAATACTACAACAAAAGTAGAACCAAAATTAAAACTGAAATAAAAGCGTATCAACAAACAAATATGATCAAAACTAAAACCACACTTATCTGCCAAACAAACTTCAACAATCTCATATCATAACATGAACACCATCAAACTTAAATTGGCCTATATATCAGCATATTGGTTTCCTTCTCTTGCTATATGTTCAATCTAAAACTGCCAACCCTTCTCCAACCATTTAAGAGCATTTTATAATGTAACAACATATACTCTCCTTTATTTCGAGACCTCAAATTTTAAATCTGGTTTACCACCATTACTAAATCCATGCAAACCTCAACCTTTCTAAAACTAGCCTCGACATTCAACAAAATGAGATTCTCCCTTGCTTACTCTATTGTGTTGTTGAGTTTAACCTATCTATCTTGATTCTCATTTTAACTACACTTGCAATCCTACTAATTAGAGCCATGTTAGAAAACTCAGAATTACCCTCCCTCATGCATTGTTTTAAGAATCTGATTAGATTGAATTGGACAATTAGACCAATTAGACCATAGATAGGGGCTATTATTAGTTTGATTTAGGCTAAAAAACAGTTTTCATGGTTGAATTAAGTTAGATTAGTGTTGAAATGGTATTGATTTGGAAATTGGAATGATTTTTAGATAAATGGATGATTGTAAACATAATATGAAAAGTTTGGAAAATTTATGAAAACTATAAAAAAAATCAAAAATAATAAACTATAAATGTAAATGCAAATACTTTTAACTCTATTCATACATAATTTAACCAAAATTTATCAATATTTGACAAGTTATAAAACATAAGTTATAATAAGATTATTGGACAATTTGATGTATAAATTATAGGTTCTGAAACATTTAAGACCTTAAACTTGTTTTTTTGTATAACATTACCCTCAACTTTTAAAAATGGTGCAACATAGCTCCTATAGTTAATAAAAATTAATTTTGAACATTATTTGATCAAAACATAATAGAAAAAGAGTAAAAAATTATATAAAAGGATAAAAAAATTACAAAAAAGGGCCTAAAACATACAAACAAGAATCAAGAAAATTTTCTTACTCATTTTTTGTAATTTTTGATATTTGTTTCTATTATTTTATGGATAACTAATAATCAAAATTAACTTTTCTTAATGATAGAGGCTACATTTTACTTTTTCCAAAAGTTGAATGATAACATTGCATAAAAAATAAATTTAAAATCCTATATGTTTTGGACCTATAGTTTAGATGTGAGATTACTTTTAATCGTGATGTTGAGACTGTTAACTTTTTTAATTTAACATCTAGTTTGACTTTTAAAACATTTCTCTCATGATAATATTTTTCATACAAAAAAAAAACATTTGACAACAATTTTTCTATAAACAAAAGTTTAAGTAAATTAAATTTTTAAAAATTCACTCGAGCTAAAATATGTCTTTAAATTTAAATAGTATTTATAAAAATATTTATAAATAGTTTATTAATAAAATTTTTATATTGACTACATGATTTGACTTTATAATTTTATAAATTATTCATCAAATTCAGGCTCTGTTTTTATTCATTTTACGACATAAGCATGGATCCCAATCATCACATCTTGTCATTAGGATTGGATTCGGCATCTTACTCTGCGGTCAAAGGGGGAAAGAAATCCAAATATAAGACGTATTAAATAAGTACAGCTCAGGATTATATGTTAAGCATTATTATTATTATTTTTTAAATTCTTGTCACCAAATCTTAAAATTTTCATAATGTCTTATTTTCAATTCCTTATTCTTTATTTTTTTAAATCTCATAAGTTAGGTAAGATTTTCACTTCTTTTTAATATGGTGCATTGAAGTAAAAATGTAAAATTACCAAGTACTCTCTCTCTCTCTGTTAAATATCATAAAATATTTTTATTAAATTATATTTTAAAGAGTCAATTAATTATATTTAAAATTATACAGTCATTTTATATTTATCCTTATTTAATAAAATATTTTAATTAAAAAATCTTATTAATTACACTCTTTAATTAAAAATATTTTTGAAAAATAAAAACTTATTAATTATAATTTAAAAATTCAAAACACCTTATATTTTTAACATATTACCTTATAAAAATATATTATATTTTGAATCGAGAGAGTAGAGTTCATTTATATTTTTTAAATACTACATTACAACTAATAATATTAGTCTTTAGAATTTTTTTTCAAAAAAGTTTCAGAAAATATTAAATTTTTAAATATAACTTTTCATCTCGAATTTTTTTTAATTTTGACTCTAAATAATTTTTTTATTTTTGGTTTAATTATAGTTTTTAATTTTTTTTTTGATTGAGTCCAATTTAAAACATGATTTGATATTAAATGTAGATTTTTTTATATTAAGGTTTAAACTTTGATTTTTCATATTGTAAGGAGGTAGCCAATCACTATAAATTTTTAATGAATTAAAGTTTGAAAAATGGAGTGATAATTAAAAGACAGGAGCTAAAAAAGTAATGTTATTTCCTAAATATTTATTTATTTATTAAATATTTTTTATAAATACTAAATAATAACAGCAAAGCTATAACAAAATGCTTATTTTTGTGGGGGTTGGGGAAAACGACAAAAGAAAATGATGATGATGGTGATAACAATCCTAATAAATAAGTAAATAAATAAATGATAATAACCGTTTTCTGCAAAAATCAAACCTCGTGGGAGGAATCTAGGAAGCATTAGCATGAGCTATGTTAGCTCCCATGTCTCTCTCTGCCAGGGTCACTGCTGCAACAGAAGGCAAACTTTGCTCCGAAGTTCACCTTCTTCTTCTTCGTCATGATTGGTACATTTACATTTCACCTCTTTTCTCTCGTACTCATATCTTTTGCTTAATTTCTCAACATTCGTTCTCAAATTTGATCTTCATTTCCTTTTTTTCCTGATTCCTTGCTGCTTTCGTTGATTTTTCCGTCTTCCTAATATTATTCCTTCTTGTCTTGTTGTTAGCCATGGAGGCTTGCCGTTCCTGCTGATTCTACTTCCGCTGCGTTTCGTGTACTTCTTTGATCTGCTTATTTGGCCTCAATAATTCTCAATTCAGCCTGGTTTTACTGGGTTTCCACTTTGTCTTAATTGCTTTTGTTTGGTTTTGATCGGTTTTTTGCGGCTTCTTTTTAGAAGGATTAAGGAAAAAATTAAATATGAATTCGACTCTTGGTTGGTATCTGGTAGTATGCAAAATTAATTGCATCCGTTGGTCTAGCATCTTAGGTCATTGGACCTATTTTTTGTTTGTCAGTATCATAGTAAACAGAGTCAAATGTCAATTGTTTGGTTTTAAAAAAATTTCTCCATGATTATTTTCTGTGCATAACAGGTACCAAGCTTCAAAACCGTAAGTTTGTGGTCTTGCCCACTTGCACTATGATCGATGAAAAGATCACGTCTCATTATAGTGGTACTTTGACGAATAGTTCATCCTTTGTTGTCTCCTTCATGTTAATTAAGCTTTGATACTATAGCAGTGTCCGGCCCGAGTAATTGCACATGAAGTGTTTTTTTCGAGACATGCAAATAAAAAAGATCATAATTTATAACAGTAAAATTAAAGTAGATATTGATCCTATTTTGATTATAGATATTGATACGTCGATGTATGATTGAGGTTCAATTATATAATCGTCTTGCAGATTTATGACATTTGAGCTCTCTGGTTCCTGAATCATTGATCTTCTCCAAAATGGGAAGAGATCCGGGGAAATGGATAAAGACCTTGTTTTCAGGGAAGAAATCACCAAAGTCTAATCGATCAAGCAAAAAAAATATCTTGGTATTCTTTTCCTTTGATTTTCCTAGTTGTCATGTTTGACAACCTTTTATGTATATGATTTGTCATGGCTAATCTGCAATTCTACATTGTATATGAAAATAACACTCTTTCAGATTTGATAGATTCTAAGGTAGATAGAGCTAAGGAGTAATCAAGCTGAGGTTACAAAGAAAGGGATTTTTTTAGGCTTTGTACCTAGACTTCAAGTCTGTATAGATTAGGAATTTACAGGAAAGAGAGTTGTTCGGGAAGAAGAAAATTAACCTATCAATCATACCTATCATAGAAATGGTTTGGCTGCACCACACAACTAAGGAGACAGTTGTTGCTGAATATACTCAAAGCTGATAGTTCATCAATAATTCTTTGGTAGCTGAATGGACATGGCGCCAAATAGTTTTGTTTTGGAGATCTAACCATGAATGAAGTTACTAAGATAACTCTAATCTAGAAAAAAAATGAGAATAAAGACATAACTCATTACCTATTATCAATGGATTAGCCTTCCTCTAATCACAATGTTACTTTAGTGTCATTTTAAAGGGGTGATCTTCTTGCATTATTTGTCCCTGAACTCCAGCATGGATACTTTTAGCATATAATCTGCATTATTGGCTGGGACGAATGTGCCTATCACGGACTTGTTTATTTATCATTAATAAGTTTCTTTTCTTTTTTCTTTTCCCTAAACAAGTGGAGAAGCAAAAGTCTGATTTATGTGCCACTGGTTGATGGAATATTTTTTTTTTGTTTCATATTGCATCCCTTACGTAAGTATGTTAGTTGTTTGATATCCTGCATTGGCAGATAAATTATATGGAATGATACAATCTAGAACAAGTATTTAAAATTATATACTTTACATTCATTAGTAAACCAATTAAAAGGATGATGCGCTAGGTGCGTTTTAGTGCCTTTTCCCCTTTCGTTTTTCTTTTCCCATTTCAAGTTTAAACTATTTATTTTTTACATTTTTTTTGTACTTTTTCGTTGTGATTTTATAAGTTGCAAACAAAGTTAGAAATTCTTTGACTGGATTTGGACCTGTTTTGGTATTACTTAAAATGCCAAAACATTTTGATGGAGGAAAAAGGTTATGGAGATAGGTAAATGACTGGTAAACTATATTTGACTACAACTGCAAAAAATAAGTATTATAGCTTTTCATGCTTTTTGAAGGAAGAGGTGACAATTTGAAACTTGTGCTGTGAGAATTGCATGTTTTCCTGTTGATAGAGACACTTGCTTCCATTATTGTGTACTTAATTTATGAGTAGAACTAGAAAAGGAATGCATACTGGGGAAATCAGGGTGTATATTAAGTCTCTCTCCTTAGCAGTTTCTAATTGTGATCCCCATCCTTTTGCGAAGAAACCTTCAAGCAACCTGGATGTGCTGGCCTGTATTGAGGCACCTGTGCCTTATATTCCTGATTCTTCACTGATATCCCCACCTACATCTGGATCTGATGCTAGTAAAGAAGTGCTCTTGGAAAAGGTAGTTGTTTGTAGATCATCAAATGACGGGAACATTCTCTCAGCTGGGGTTGAAGAGAACAATGCAGAAGCTGTTGATTCCGGCTCACTGGATGATGCTGATAAAATCAGGCTTGCTGAAGCTGCTATAAAAATTCAGGCTGGTTTTAGGAGCTATCAGGTAGTAACATCTTATATTTGTACAATTTCCTTTCATTTCTTAAACGTTATAAAACTTCTATCTATTCCATGTTGCAACAAGATTTTAAGAAAATCATTTTATTGTAGTAATAAGTATGTCTACTTTCTTTTCCATCTATTATTTGGTGCCTAATGTAATTTTGTCCACTGCTGAAATTTCTCATCTTTCCTCAACTTGACGATTCTATTTTAGAATATTTAGGATATTATTGTTTGAATTTTAAAATCTATAATCTTGGTTAAAATATACTTGTCATACTGGCTGATACTTTCTAACTTGAGAAAATCTTGACAAATACTGACACAACATTGTCTTTTCAATTTGAAATTTAAGGTATTGAGTTGTGAAGAAAAATAACATGTTATTTCATTAATGATCTTGTGTGTTTTGTCTAGAATGATCAATGAATGATTAAAGTGGTTTCTGCATAACTTATTTGAAGGCATGGCGGGCATTTCAAACATTAAAAGGTGTCATACAACTGCAAGCTCTTATTCGAGGCCACTTGGTTAGAAGGCAGGCTGTTTCTACTTTATACTGTGTGAAGGGAATTGTAAAAGTTCAAGCGTTAGTTCGTGGTCACAAGGTTAGACATTCTGATATTGGGATTGCTGTCCTCAAAAATTTCAAGGTAAATATTCTTCAACTAAATTAATCCAGGCAATGATCTGTGGGTTAATCTCCCTAACTTTCCTAGTTGGCTTGTTCAACATTTCTCAAGCATTAATATCATAAGGTGTTCTGTATCATACAGTTGGAAAGTTTTCTTGGTTTAGTGTACATATTCCATGTTATAGATGAAAAGCTAATTGCCAGCAATTACATTCTCCTTTCCTCTTTGTTACCATACTGACCACCCCTTTTAACATTTCTTTGGTCAGGATACTAAATGTTCAAATTCTACTGGAGTAGTTACAACTGCTCCGGCAGAGAAGCTGTCAACCAGTGTCTTTGTTAACAAGGTAGGAATAATTCTTCCAATTCCTTGTATAAGGAGAGTAACTGTACAGTTTTAGGTAATTTGAGGAAGTATGATCACTCTTTTTCAAGGTACTAAAAACTGGATTGGTTATTGAACTGGTCAAGGCACTAGTTCAAGGGTTAATGTCAAAATCATAGTCGAATTATGATCAAATTGATCATAAACAAAATATTTTATCAAACCGATCACGGCACTTGTTCAATGATTTATTGGTTCAACTGGGCAAGTTGACCTGGATTTCCACACTAGGCTGTTTTCGGCCTATTTAAGCTATAGGTAGTAAGATATGATTATCCAGTAAATATCTTGTGGTCCATTGAGGGTTTTTTCCCCCTGTTCAGTTGCAGCTAAGTGCTATTCAATTGAACCTGAGAAAGGTGAACAGCACCCAAATTTTTCTTATATATCTGATACAGCTATGTAAGAAAAATTTGGGTGCTATTCATTTTCGTTTTGGGAAGGAATAGATGAAAATAATGCATGACCTCTTTTTGATCTCATTTTCGTTTTCATTTTTAATTTGAAGGCAAAGGTGAGATCATAATGTTCTTTATCACTTGCAGCTTCTGGCCTCCTCATCCTCACCAGTTTCTTTCCATCTTAATTTTGATCCTGGACAACCTAGCTTCACTTGGAAGTGGCTTGAGCGTTGGACAAGGTCAAACTTTTGGGCACCTCTTCCCAAATCAGAGAAGAAACTTGACTTAAAGTCCAATGAGAAGAGTAGCAATTGTCAAACGTTTGAAAATAACAAGGGGAAAGCTAAAAGAAATATCAAGAAAGATTCTGGTTTGAAAGTCGATGATGGCTTGACCTCAGAGTCAAACAAACTTAAACAGCCTGCAAAAAAGGTTTCAAGCCACCCAGTGCAGTCATGTCAGGAACATCCACAAAAAGAAATAAAAAATCATATTAAGAAGTCTTCGACGCAGAGTGTTTCTAGTAGATCTGAGGTTGCCCCTGAGAAAAAGAAACACATCACTGGAAAACTTTCGGGTCATGCCGTCACTGATGTTTCAGAGCAGGGTGCTCGTGTTTCAGCAGATAAAAAGAAAAATTTGGGTGTGTCAAAATCAAAGCAATCTGATCTTGAAAAAAGCCTTGGATTGCAAGCAAAAGATGAGCATGGGGAATCACACAATCATTCTATTGCTGAGTCGCAGACTAGTTTAAAGAATGGTAGAGAAGTTGGTCGCGAAGACAGTGAGGACTTGAAAATTACTATGAACTTTCCGAACTCCCTAAGAAGAGCTTCACTGCCTGGCAATTTCAATGATCAATATAATGACAGTTCTCATAGCACTCCAAGACTTCCTAGCTATATGGCCCCTACTGAATCTGCAAAAGCTAAGCTAAGAGCTCAAGGCTCTCCTAGGCTTGCTGGTGACTTGGTGGATAAAAATGGTATAACCAGGCGTTATTCATTCACTTCTTCATTAAATGGCAAGTTTGGCTTATTTTCCCCAAGACCAGAACGACTGTTAAACACAGGCAGCAGAGGAATGATCAGGACTGATATATCTCTGTCATCATTAAGGGATGGTGCTGGTAAGAAATTCAGGATTTTGTGTTATTTTTTTCTTTTGAATTTCACGCATACACACGCACCCTACTTTCACCATAGGGAAGAGGATTCACACACATTCCATGACCTACCAGGGGTTCGAACTTTGTGAGGTGCTTTCGTGCCATTAAGTCATTAAGGCTTGGGCTTATTATTTATACCTTTCCATTTGCAGATTAGTTATACCTCTGGGCTTGGTTTCACTTGTCTTTTAGATGATTAATTGGTTATGATGGTGTTGCCTTTGAAATATAGTCTTGACACACACACGCACACATACATTATGGGTTATGTTGTTGAGGGAAATTCTGTCCTCCGTGGTGCATTCATGGTGATTCTATAACTGGTCCGGGAATTGATCAAGACTGCAAAGGCTAATCAGCTTGTTGGTAAAATAATTTTTCTTGATTCAAGACATTGTGTTTTGCGAGATTTGTAGTGAACACTAAATGCTCATCTTAATTGTGCATCAGGAAAAAATTGTGTGTGTGTGTGTGATTTATTATCATAGATCTTTGATGTCTCCATTTCTCCCCAATGGCGTTCTATGATGTTCTTCCCAATTTCAGAGAAGTTCATCCAACCCCAGTGGAGAAGGTGATCTCACCAATTGTTAAGTACATGGAAACTTCGACAGGGGTAAATTACTCTCTTTTTTTTGAAAATAAAAAGAAAGAAGGGTTAAAGGAAAAATTTGCCCTTAAACCATAGGTTTAGGTGCGTTGAAAATCTTAAACTCGTTTTTAGTATAATATGACCCTTCAATATTTTAAAACGGTACAATATCAGCCTTGTCATTAACAATTGTTAATTTTGACTGTTAGTTGAATAAAAAAGCTATAGAAAGGAGATTCACAAAATACAAAAAAAGAATCAAAAAATTATAGGAAACTTTTTAGTTTTCTTATAGGGTCCTTTTCTATAATTTTCTTGGTCATTTTTTATAATTTTTGAGATCTTTTTTTTAATAATTTTTTGTCAACTAATGGTCAAATTCAACATTTGTTAACAATAATATTGCATCTTTTTTGAAAAGTTTAAGGAACATTATATTAAAAATGAATTTAGAGTCTTAAATGCTCATAGACATATAATTTTAGAGCAAATTTGTCATTTAACCTCAGTAAAAAAAGAAAGAAAATTGTGATTAACATAGCACTTTTCTTTACTCATTCTTTCTCTTTTGGTTATATGAACAGGAGGGTTGTCATATTTGAAGCCTCAGATATCAAAGTTTGGTGGTATATATGTTTAATTGTCTATGATTCGTCGCTTGTGGACATGCCTTGGCTTTGCTTCCCCGACGCTTTGCCATATCTGTATTATTGTTGTTCTCAGGTCAAATACTTAAAAAATTTGAAAATGGAGATAATCTTTTCAAGTCGAGTCATTTGTTCTGCTTATGTCGAGATATTTGGTAGTGACTAAGGCAAGTTATTTCCTCCAATTTTTTTTTAAATTTAAATGAAATAAAATGTAGGCTCATGTCACGTTATTTACGAGGCCGTATCTGTGGTTGACTGAGGAATAAATTCGCCCTTTCAAAGGGTTTGAATTTTTAGTGCTATTAATCACATTTTAAATTTATCATCTTTATTTAATAATTATAATTATAATTAGTGCTGGTTCAATGGAGTGCATGGAATTAAAGAAGAGGTTGCATGGTCAATGAGGTTTATAAGAGTTTTTATATTATGTTTAAATATACAGATTTAATAAATAAGCAGGGATTGGGTTTTGTAGAAAGAATTAATCCTTCACAATATAATGAATTAATATTTAAATTTATACTTAAAGAGATATTTAGATTTAATGCGTCACTGTACTTCGAACATCATAAAAATTTTAAAAAATAATGAAACCACTTGGCAATACTAAAGTTATCTTTTATATCGACATTTTTGCATAGAGATATATAGATTGAGAGCCCTTTTGAAAGAAAAGCTTGACATGTACACGAATCTGAAAGTGAATACTCATTTTCTTGAACCTGGTCATGATTGTGAGAAATATTATGGAATGAGAGAAGCACACCTTCGGATCAATTTGTGGCAACGAAGCTTGCCCGTAACTTCATTCTTCTAATTTATGCCTTTGTAGGTTTTTTTATAAACATATTTTTAATTGAGAAGAATATGTCATGAGCAGTACAAGTATTAAATGAGAGCTTATTTTAAAAAACTAGCCTATTAGGTGGTAGAATATCTCATACTTATAAATTTTATTTCACTTGTGAGGTTCTTTGATATAGTATTTGTGACAGAATCAAGGATGGTAAGGGAATGGAAGTCCTTAATTCCATTGATCCAGGCAATTAAATATGCTCTTATTAGACTAATACTTCTTCTATTTTCAAATATAGGAGAAAATATTGGCAAATAAAAAAAATGCAGGAAAAAAATAATTAATTTACACAATTTAAGAAAGTTACTTAAGTATAATAATTATATTTGAAATTTAAAAATTTTAATAAAATAAAATTGTCTAGTGAAAGTAAACATTATAAAGGATAATTTTTTTAAAAAATATGATGAATTCTTTTTGAAATTTATTATTTTGCTTATAAATAAAAATAAAGAGACATGATAGTTTCCTTTATATTTGAAAATAGAAGGAGTATTTGATAAATTTGACTAGGAGCAAGACAACTTCAAGTCGGCTCATTAAACATCCACTTCCTCCTTCTGACCACAATTCACATTCCAGATTCTGCAAATTAATGAAATGATTGTTTTTCTCTGATTTTCGCTTATGTCAAATTAATACCTGAAAATGAAAACTTGCAACAAGCAGATAAGATATTTTGCAAATTGGAATATTTTCTGGTACAGATTCTTTCTTGGTCATCATCACATCCTCTACATGAACAAAAGATCCGTCCAGGTTCATCTCTAGAGAGAACTTCTGGTTTTATATGGTTATATAACATCTCTGTGATAACACATCTCCTGAATAACAACAGATCAAAACTACTATAAATATGAGAGGTTAGCATATATTTTTCTAACAAGAAGCCAAAGAAAACACTTGAAGCTATAAGCTGAGAAGTGTGTGTATACATATATTTATATATTCCAGGTGTTCTCCTAGAGTTCCCCTGAACACTTCATTGAGGGCCATCTTTATGTTGATATTATATATATATATATGTATATGCCCTTGCTGAAGTGTTTGGGGGAACTCTTGGTGTCACTTGAAGCTTCAAAACCTGCAATGCAGACAAACTTCATGCAAGAAACACATGTTTGATTGCTTCTTAATAATTCTTGACTTCATTTTTCTAACCTTTGTGGGCTAGCCTAGGGTAACTTCATCTTCTCAGTCTGGCATTCGATGTTTCTCTGAATGGCTCTCAGGGCCTGCTTAGACTTCCAGCACACGACTATGTCATCAGCAAGTAGCCTTGAACTTGGCTTATCGATCGTAGTCAGGATGAGGATGTGGTTCTGAGAGTGGGAATTCTTCCTCCCTTTCATCCTTGGGATGTCCTGGGATCGACTCATGCATTGTGCTTGCAGCACAACATTTTGGACCCTAAGATTCAGTTTCGTTCTTATTATTGTCCTGTGATCGTGTTCTCGACATGGTTCCAGCAACTAATCCCATAAGGCATGCGCCAAAAAAGATTGTTGGCGTGGAAGGGATCAAGTACCCTCTTGTGCACACTTGGCGTGCCTGAGGAGAAAATCTTCAATTGAAGTGTTGTGGGTTCTCAAGGTTCTTTACCTCAACTTCCTTGGATCAAACCATGACTGTTCCACACAACGAGCTTAGTTTTGGGAGAAATTAAGTATAGTAAAGGAAAATGGGAGTGAGTACAATGCATACAAAACGTAGGAGTTACTAAAACTGAAACAAATCCTAAGCGCGCCTAAGAGCAAAGTCACGTTGAGTGAAGCTCGGTATGCAGGGAGAAAATGTGTATTGAGTAGTTGACTTTTTAGATGATTGGTCGGTGTCCTCCTCCGCCTGTTCTCTTCTTTTTAAGGAGAGAGAGCAGTCATTTCATTTTTGAATTTAAATGGGAGAATTACAATCAAATCTTACATAAAACCATTAATTACTGCAAGATTAACTGACAATTGAATTAAATTGTATAAGTTAGTTATTAATGAATCTTACAATAATTAATTTTTTTTATATAAAACTTTAATGTTATCCTCCAAATTTAAATCCCTCCTGCCAAGTGAAGGGGATCACCACTCCCGCGCTTCTTTGGGTTTTAATTACGCATCATGGCAAAGAACAAAATATTACTGCACCACCAGTTTTAAAAGATATAAGTTTCATGCATGTTCGGTTAAAACAATTCATTTCTAATAACAATGCCGCTTCCTTGATCACTCACTCCCTGAAAGAGCTTTAGTTTAAGTCTCTAGCTGGCTTTCGTTTAAATAAATTACACACATATACATGCGCTCTCTCTTGCTGAAGTGTTTGGGGGAACTCGTGGTGTCACTTAATGCTTCCAAATTTAATTTCTATTAATATTTGTCATAAACTTATATCATCAGCCTTCACACTTGTATGGTTGCTTCTCAATTAACGCTTGAATTTTTTTTTGACCTTTTGGCTAATATCATATATAGCCTTTTTGCATGATTGAATGATAATTAAGGAAAAAGCATTTATTTTTTGTTTTTTTCTTTAACTGTTTGATTGAGTCAAATTCAAGCATTGTTAGGTTTAACTAGAAATTGCTCTTCTAAAAAGATTTTCTACATTCACGCAGGAACTTGGGACCTTGTACTCATTAAGTGGCGCTCATAGCTAGCTCCTACCATTTCTACTTAGATATTGATTGCTTGAAAAATTTTCATAATTAAACATCTTTTTTAAGAGTTCATAAATCTTTTTATATATTTCCGTCACTAGACTACTTATTAAACTCACGAGTTTGACAATCCTAAAAGAATCCTTCATACTTATAAACCCTTTCACTTGTGGTTCTAGTAGAACATTACAAATGAATCCAAAATGGTGTTTGTAATTGTTATGAGTTCCATATTGGGGAACTTCAATACTAAAAAATGATAGTTAAAAATTTATAAATAATAAAAAATTGTTTTGTAACTGGGTAGATTTGGGACAAATTTTTGACAGCATAGCCCTTTACATAACTCGAAACGCATTTGCGACTGATTTTCTTTCATAATATAGCATGCATTTTTGATGGTAATTCCTTCACAGAATTTTGGGACAGACTTGTGACACCCAAATCCACCGCAAAATTTGGACGCCTTTGCGAAACTAACCTTCACCCCAAAATTAGGGACAAATATTCCATCCCTAACAGTGCATCTCCAATTGAGATGGATTTTAAAATTCCATTGAAAAAAATTTGCAGCTAGCAAAATAGCAGTGATGAAAGGAGGGTCGTGTAATATTAATAAAATTACTCCAATAGCCATATTCACAAAACAACCTAAATCGCTTTAACAAGAAATAGTATAAGTTATAGATTCCTTAATTACCTTAAATTTTTAAAAAATTAAAGGTTACTTCTAACACAACATGCTCCTTGAGTTAGGATCGGGTTCAAATTCATATGATAATAATAATCTATAATTATCAACAACCAATATCATTAAATAGCAACTAAATTTTCACTTCCAACTCCCAAAACTCACACCTTAACACCCATGTTTCCAACCATATTTTTATATATAAAAAATTGGCAAAATCATGATGAATTATATTAAAAGAATTAACTAAATATCTCATTCAGAAGTTAAAATTACGATACAATCATACTCAAATGTCAAATCATAGTAGAATCTTTCAAAAGCATTTAAAGCAGTCAAAAAACAACATAATGGCATAATCATAAACAAAATTAAATAGAATCATGAGCTTCATCATCTCCATTTTCTCCCTCTACAAGTGGCATAAGCTTGAGAAAGATATTAAAATTCTTTTGGAAATCTTTGAGCTCTTGTTGCTGCTCATTTATTATTGACACAAACTTTTGGTTGATCTCTATCAAAGCACCCACATGCTTTTGAAGCTTATGCTCAAGTTCTGGATGAAATCCTATATGATAAGAGGCATCCTCCATAAAACAAGATCCATGATATGAAGGAGCCTTAAATCCAATGCCAAAAATGGGTCCCTTCCTATTAACACCAACCAACATCCTTCAACCACAATTAATACTAAATCATTAGCACAGGCTGCTGCTTTTATTTTTCAAGAGGTGGATCCCTATCTAGGAGCTCTACTTGACTAGACGATTTATTAAACCTCTTTAGAATCATATAGTGCTCCTATAAAAAGAGAGGTGGTTAAATTATAATTTAACTTAATTTTATAACTTTACAAATAGAATGACAAGAATTCATGTAACTCAACAATTTGACAAGTGATTATAAAGAAAAATTAAAATGCAAAGGTTCAACATTCTATAAAAAAATACAATAAGAAGTGCAATTTTATATCAATTTCATTCAAGCCTAACTCACAAATTTATCAAGCATAAAAGAAAACAGTTCCAATGATAAAATGAATCACGCCATTGGTAGTTAGGCCTCTAGCCATCAATATAATTCAATAACAAATCAAAACATAGAAATATAAAAATATATAAATATATATAGATATACATCAACTAGCCTCTGATAAACAAACTATCCATTTTTTTCATTATAATGTGTGCATTTAAATAGCTCAATCATTGTTGGCTCCCTCCCAAGATCTACAATCTATGATTATTAATAGTAACTAGAAATATTAATTCAATATGAGAAATAATTAGTAATTTGAATTGAAAAACTTACCATCTTTCATATATATATATATATATGCTCAGATATAGAAAAGCTACCACATCTATTCTTCATGCTTCCTTTGCTAAAGGCTCGATTAACTTTAGCCTTTTGTTTTTTGTTATGATATTTTAGCTTATTGCATTGTACTTCTAATTCTTCTACACTGGAATCAAATTTGGCCCAACACTTGAACTCCTAACTCTAGTCATATGCTTTCTCAAGATATCACCACACTTTTTCTTCCAATTAGCTTTTAATTCTCACATCATTTTGTGGTATCCTTTTAAAAGGTCTGTGTATAAAATAAAATATTCATAAATTATTAATTAGATAAAGAATAACAACACAAATAATTTAATTACAATTTTCAACTAGAAACTCCTAATAGCATTGGCAAGGTTAAATCTATATTTACATATACGAGCCCAATTGTTGTAAAAGTTCAAATTTATAGGGAAAAAAAATATAAAATTTATAATAACATAACGTTGCAAAATTGTCAATTTATGTCTCATTATCAGGTACCATTAAAATTCAACCATTGGTGGGATCTTGACTCCCATCTTTTGAAGATGATGATATAATGGGCTCTACTGTAAATCCTATAGAGGGATTAGATATGCCAATAGAGGGAGATTGGTGAGGAGGAGATAATGATCTAACACCATTTTGTGGTGTCACAGGACTACTAGGTTGACAATAACCACTCTTGATGCCATGACTTGTCATCTACACAACTACATGAATAAATTATATGTACACAATAATATTTAACATATTTTTAAAAAATCAAATACAATAAAAACACAATTTTACATAAACCAAGAACTTTACATGAATTATGAATTCCTCTAAATATCATCTTTTGAATCATTTGCTTCTTTGTCTTATAATTATCACAATTATAAATGAATAACAGTATAAATGTATCAAAGATTATAATGGGTGGATTCATTCAATCATTTCTACTTGGAGAAGTTGTTTAGATTTTTTATTTTATGGACTGTTTAAAAATAAAAAGGTCCCGATTACATCATATTAAAAAAATAAAATTCTTTACAGTGCAAGGCTATGGCTCATTCCAATCAGATGGTGAAGAAGATTGTTGATAGTAACAAACGAAAAGGAAAATTAAAACAATTTAAAGTTTCAGAAGATAGGATTTTAACTTTAAATTTCTATTGTAAAGCTTCCAAATTTAAGGCTTTCAATTTTAAATATCTTTTCTTCTCTCCGATGAATGAAAATGCTGATCAAAGGTGGGATTTAAAATTATATGCTCAAAACTCATGATACATCCAAACTGGTCTAGACTAATGCCAAGTAAAGTCAAGTTTAATTTGTTCCTTGAGTTAATTAGGTCTATAATTATTAATAAAACTAGTAAAAATTATTCAACAGCTAAAAAAGAAAAAAAATTTCATATTTAGTCTTTGTAATTGTGTAACTAATAATTATTGAAAAAAATAAACTTTTTATATAATTCATTTATGAAAAATTTAAAGCAAGCTAAAGTCATGAGCAGTCATAATAGACTGACCATATTAATTATTCAATCACTTGTAGTTTATACTGCGTAAGTTAGCACTTGAGAGTTGAAAGACATGGACCCCGCGGCCTATTATGATGCATGCATCTAATTAAAATATGTAAATATATGAGTATTGCCTTTCTTTTTAACATCATGGAAGTGAAATCGTTAAGCTAGAATTTTATATCCTGGAGGTGGCGCTTTTATAAGTATAAAAAAATAATAATAAACACCCATGGAGAAAATTGAACATACGAACGCTATAGAAAAAAAAAAAAACAACTTAAATCTACTACGCCAATGGCATTCTTTTATCTTCTTTTGACATTGAATATATATAACATATTTAAATAGCATTTAGAACATTTGAATTAAATTATTATATATTTTCATTATGAATCATATTATCAATGTAAATTGGATTGTAGATGTAATGATTTTAAATTTTAATTTGAACAAAAATTTGGTACCGAGGGATACTTTATTTGAATAAGCAAATTGACTTTTTGGTTATTTTTAAATTATGAGAAAATTCTGGGTTTTTTTATAATTTTTGTTGAGGTTTTCTCATAATTTTATTGATGCTTTTCTTGTACTTTTCCCAAAAGTCCTTTTGTCCGATAGTATTTCTTCGCCTTGAAGAAAGGAAAACAGAGCATTCGCGTTTGTTCTTCACCGACTTTGAGTTCTCCCTTCTCATTATCGTTGAACTTCTTACCTTCACCTCCCGCTTGCTCTTCCTGTCACCGGTAGCACACACCTGACCGGACTGGTGCTTTTCGGCAGCTGGAAGTGGGTCACCATAATTAGTTCTCTCTCAGCTGTCAATTCGTGTTTCTCGGTCCAGATTGAGCGTCTGTGCGTGTGTATGTTATCTTCAATCTTTCTTGTTTCTTGTCTTCGGTCCTTCTTGTTTCTCATCTTTGATAAGCCTAGCTGTTCGTTTTCTGGTTCTTCCTACCTTGTTCGAGTTACAGACCAGAATTTCTGTCTTCTTCAACGTCGACCACGTGACGGACCTGAGCTGTTATGGCTGCACCGAAGTTTGAGGTAACTAGTTGATCTTATCTTCTCCCTCTTCGATGACAGCGGCAACACTGAATCATTTTTTTTTTCAGCCGTCGGGTGCGCCTCTGTTTCTCACTGTTGTTGTAGTTTTTAGTTAGGATGAAAGAGAAATTTCGGTTGGTGCTGGAAATGGTTTGATGGTGATGATGAGCTGAAATATAGTTAGGGAATTAAATGTTAGGAGTTGCGGAACTTACTTAGATGTGTTCATTTGATAACTTCGTTATTGGAGAATGCCTTGAATGTTTTTGTGAATATGTTTGAGAGAAGAATGGAGGAAAAGAAAGTTGTTGAATTGCTTTATTTCATAAATTTGTCAATGATAAATACATGTCTTAAGGTATTGTCAAAATGTGTGATGGGAGAATTTGGTAAATTATAAGTTGTTAAGATTCCTCGCTATAGCTTGAAAAAGTATCTATAATTTTTGTTCAAATTGTTAATTGAAAATTTTAAAACATTAAAGTGAGAGAAATGATTATATATAATACTTGTTTTACATTTTTTTTTAGTCTAAGAGAAACTTAAGAATGGTTGGTATATATGGTCTATTATAATTTATAATTGAGGATGGATTATAAGGAAGTATAAAGATGAATTAAGATTGGTCAAACAGTTTAATTAACTTAAGTATAATTAGAACTCAAATGAAGACAGTGCCTTGCAAATTAATTGTTGATATATTGTGAAGTATGAAGTTGCGCATGATTTGGTTTATATTATATTTTAAGGTATTTGAACATAGGATGTGATTTAGAAGTATCAAATTTAGAGAGCCAGAGAAGAAAATAGCGAAGAATTGAGAGAAGAACAGGAAGAATAGAGAAGTCAAAGGAAAAGAGGTTGAGACATATTAGAGAGGAAAAGGATTATGAGAATTCTGATCTTGTCAATCTGTCATCATATCATACATTCCATCTTAAGAATCATATATATATATATATAGACATATAAGATAAAACCTAATGGCTACCTGCAGTACTTAACGATCAAATCCCCTAACTAACTAATGCCAATATTATAAAGTCATAACAATACCCCCTTTAAAAGATCCTTGGCCTCAAGGATCATGTGCAACAAAATGTGAAATTTTTTGTTTGAATTGATACAAAGGCATCCATGATGTTTCTTCATTAGGTAGCTGTTTCCATTTGACCAAAATTTCGGTGATAATTCATCCCCGCTTCTTCCCAATGCGTTTTTGTAGAATACTATCAGGTTTTACAACTGATGGTAATTCTGGCCAATCTAAAGGTGGATGTCGTTGCTTCACTTTAAGATCAGGACAAAGCTTTAAAAGAGACATATGAAAAGTAGGATGAATTCTAGAGTTTGGTGGTAGCTCTAGCTTATATGCAATAACTCTTACTCATTCCGGTATCTATAAGGTTGCAACTTGAGAAAGACCTACTGTCCCACTATAAACTTATGATCAGTCCTATGAGCATCAGCTTTTTGCTTCATTATGTTGGCGGCACGATATAAATGATGCTTCAAAATCTTTAACATTTCTTCCCTTGCTGAAAAGGACCTGTTTAATACATCCAAAATAGCATTATAGGGTAAATAAGGACAATGGGTAGGAGGAGTCTGACCATATAAGAGTTCATAGGGAGTAGTCTTTCTTGCTATATGATAACTTGTGACAGCCAATTGCTCCATGCCTTAGGTTGCTTCCAACACATGCATCTTAAATAGGTTTCAAGACACTTATTAAGAACTTTCAATTGTCCATCTATTTGTGAATGATAAGCCATAGAGAGATGCTGCTAAATACCTAAGATTTGCAAAAACTCCTTCCAAAAACTACTCATAAAAATTAGGTCACGATCACTTATAATCTCAATTGGTGTACCATGCAACTTATAAATATAATCCATAAAATCTGTACTAATGAAGATGCTAAATAAGGATGAGTAAGAGGAATAAAATGTGTATACTTAATCTATCTATTAAAACCCATATTTTATCCTTACCATGAAACCCAGGGAGCCCCTTAATAAAATCCATTATAATGCTTTCCTAAATTTTGCTTGGTTTGGGAAGAGGTTGTAATAATCCCGGTGAACTGATAGCTTCATATTTACATCTAGCACATGTGTCACAATGCTTAACAAAATCAATTTTTTCCATAAAATAGAGCCTTAATTGTAATATCCTTCTCGTTTTAACCCATAATTAAAACCCAAATCCTAAATAATGAAAAAAATGAGCCAATAGTAATCATCAAATATAGAATTTTTATTGGTTAATAAAATGGGACCCTAAGATTATAAATCCAAAGTCAAATCAAAGTTCGCAAATACGTGGAAGTAAGGGATTATCACATAAGTGGTTACATAAGTGTAAAAATCTGAAACAAGAAAAATTTTGAAAAAATTAAAAAGCGTGTGCCACGGCTCGTTGAACATGCACCATGGCATGTTCATCTCTGTGACATACGCTGCAACTTGTGACGCCATGCGCCGTGGCGCAAATGTATGAGTTTTGATAGTGAGTTTTGTTGTCAATTTGACAGCTTTAGGGCCAACTTCTGACGCACCTTAAATTTTTGTCCGACGTCCGAATGATGTGAGCAATGAGTCTATGGAAAGCTCTTTTTGGGCTCTAACTAATGGCATTAGTCTTAGGCTCAAATTATTTTTAAAACAAGAATTGGACACCCTTTTCAAAACTTACACCTTTACCTCAACTTTCACAAATTTCAAGTATCCTAACCCAAAATCAAGGACCAATGGCCACCGCCACTAAATGACCACATACAACTCAACAAAATTAACTCGTACAAAGCAGTAAAACATAAGAAATATTTTTAGATCAAATTTTCACTACTTAATCCCTTAACTCAAAATCTTAGAAAGGGGAAGTTTACCATAATTTTCATCAAGATTTCTCAAATCATCACATAATATTCACTACCCTCATTTGCATTAGTATTTTGGCCTTATCAACATAACACATAATAATAAACTCTCTCCCTAAGGCCTAAAATACCATTACAATTTACCTTTCACTGAATGCAAGTAAGTAATAAAAAGAGAAATTTCAGTTGGCAATCGAAATTATCATACACATAAATTACCCAAAATAAAGAGGCCTATTACAAGTGGATCGTGATCCTAAGCCTCAGGTTGTTTTCCTCTGTCTATACTTCTTGAGCCATTCCCTGAAATATTGAAAATAATGGGGTGAGTACAACTACTCAGTAATCAAGGTCTGACTAGCCCATACTAATATATATCAATTAGTTTAAAATGCAAGTGACAGTAAATATTATTACTTTAACCCATGAGAAACATTTGAAATAAGAATTCACAATTTAGCGTACATAATGGCCTTCACCTAGAAAAACAATGCTTTTAGCATCTTTCATATAAATAAAATTGTTCACATAATTTATTGACAAGCCTAATGGCAAAAAATATTACTCAACTCAATATATGCACATTATGGATTCAATATAGATAACAAGTGCCTTTTCTCACTATATGCATGATCACACCTCCCTTATATCCTCCTTATTCCTCTGACACGAAACCGTGGGCTATGACTCAATGGGATAGTCTATATTCTTTGACTTCCCTAGCTTAAACACTTGTGAGGAGATTACTCGGCCAAGGCGTACCCAACTCACTTATGTATCACGGTTTCTCTTATTTCTCATACTATGGGCTGTCAGACACCCTTAACTAGCTTCCTCATTGGACCGGTGGATAGCTAGCTAGGTTTGAGTCTCTCGTTGAACCAGTGGGATAGTCCCTCGTTGAATAAGTAGGACGATATGAATAGAATCAATTTAGGCTGTCCATCACATGGATGGGGCCTCACCAGGTGGATTTATCATCTACTCTGCCTCCTAGGCAAACTCTTGCCTCTCTAGATCATGCCATGGACATTCATGATATAATTCACACATATACAATTCATAGAACTTCACATTACACAATCATTAAACTTCTCAACATATTTCATGGAACTTAAAAAACAAACAAGTCATTGAACCCCAAATCACATTTATTGTACCTCACACTTTCAAAATTATTGAACTTTCCTATTTTCGTACATCATTGAACTCCTTCTAAATAAAGATTCATTTTGCTTTTCAATTTGTAGAAGTCATTGCACTCTCAATAAACAATAATATGAAAATCCACCACTATTGTTCTCAGAGAAAATTTTGCATCATAAAGCATAAAACTCACAAATTTGATCTACTGGGCTTCTTCACAATTCAAGCCACACTTGCATTTCTTTTATCTTATACACTTCAAATGATAATTCATAAATCAATAAACTAATAATCACACACAAGCATAAGATAGAATTTTTCCGGTTACCTTAAACCTTTAACCTCTTAAAGGTTTAAGGTTAAAGTTTTTATCTCTCAACTATTCGCTCCCAAAGCTTTCAAGAAGCTTGAATAGTTCCAATGATAATTACACTACAAGCATTTACCATACAAAACATCAATATCTATTTTGAGCTATTTTCCACTAAAATTTCATCATTTCTTAATACTCAAGCTTTACTCTAAACTCATGTAGAAGTACCCATAAAGTTTCTTAACTTCCTTTAACTCTCATTTATAACATTAAACTCTTAAATGGGCATTAATGAAGCCATATTATTTTTCAGCCATTAAATTTATGGGAATTTTGGACATTTAATGTCATCCAACCATCAATCATCATAAAATCACAAATATCAAGTTTACTTAGCTCTATCTATCATCATTAATTCTATTTAAGTTAATAGGTTCGGACCCATAATCTTTATAGATTGAAAATCACCATTAGAAGTCAAACCTTAACCTCTACCATTAAGAAAATGGAAGAAGAGAGGAAGATTTAAGCTAGGAAGCTTACCTTTGGTGTTTATGAGCTCCAAATTACTCCTAACAATCAGTTTTTTTAAGCCCTAGTTCAGCTTTTTTTGCCATTCCTTCGTTCTCTTTTGTTTTCTCTTCATTTTCACTTTAGATT